ACAGTTCGTATATTTTACTATCGGTGCAATAAAGAATTATCATTAATAACATTGAAACTATCTAGGTATATATATTAAGTGATCTATATTTTCGAAAAACCGCAATATTATATCCAGTATTAACTTTTTGTGGTTAATATTCTTATTCTAAATAAGTTTCGTAGATATTAACCGTCTGAGACATATGTATCCTTTTCAATTATAAATTTAATTTTTTTGATAACCGTTTAGTAATAACAATCATTATCTCTATGAGTTAAATGTTACAAGTCTGACATTTTTCAAAAAATTCAAATTTTTACAAATAATTGACGTTATATCTTTATAATTTTTAATTGAAAACATACAATTTTAATTTTAAATCCAAAGCGGAATATTTTTCTGAAAATGTCCATTTAATATTGTTAGATAATGGTTTGAAATAATTTAAAATTTTCTAAAATTAAAAACTTCAATACTTTTCTAGAAAATGAGGCTTCATCTTCAATCAAAAGAATCACACTGTATGTGATTAGTGAATACTGATTACATCACTTATTTACTTATTTTATACCTACATAAATTTCTATTATACAAAAAATATACATAATAATTTGTTTATATCGTTGAACTGATATTATTTTTAAATATATATATTTAAGATATTTATTTTTATATTTAGGTTCGCATGAACACGGTCATTATTTATATCAATTTATTAATCTGTATTCTATATTTTGTAATACTATAATTTAAATGGGAGATTGTAAATTCCGCCCGAAATGAACAGGTAAAAACAAGGGCTATGGTAAATTCCGCCCGGGAAAATATCCAAGCAAAAAAAGGTACATGTAAATTCCGCCCGAAAAAATATACAGGTACAAAAATAGTTCCGCCCGGAAAAATAAATATTTTTAATCTAAGCGTTCCGTGAATGTACGACGCGGCCGTACTTTTCGCGACGCGGTGCGTGTTATAACTTATAGTATTGGRAAGTCACAACATTTTCGAACACGGAACAATCGTATCTCAAACGATAATCGTCAATCATGTCATATCATATCAGCAATGACTGCAATATTGTGGATCTAAAATTTCAGATAGAAATATTATAAATTGTGTTCAGTACAAGTCCTAGAGTCTTATACGCTTATACCTAGTACCTACGCTATAATGGCTCAACTTATCGAATCAGAACGTGGAAATATACTTTTATAATATAATATTTTTATTTTCAGGCGGAATTTACATGTACCTTTTTTTACCTGAATTTTTTTCGGGCGGAATTTACATGTACCTTATTTTACCTGTATTTCATTTTGGGCGGAATTTACCATTTTCGGGCGGAATTTACATGCGCCCAATTTAAATGGATACATAATATTATATTCATCCATCTACTATGAACCCACCAGTGTCGCGTCTTTCTTATGGTCTGCTGTTTTTCTGCATCATTTTTTTTATTAAGCTCATAATTAATAAGCTTATACTCGTAATTCCTATAGTGTTACTTCTAACCTACTATGCATATGTCTTATAATAACCAAATAAATAAATTCTTGATTTTGCAAGCAGAGCGTTGAAATGTAGATTTTGATAAACAAATTATTATGCAAATGAAACATGGATGTTAATTTATTTTGGAAAAATTAACAAGTGGATATTATTATATTCCGTTGTATTTAAATTAAATAAATAWATATATATATTTACTACAGTTTAAATAGATTAAAAATAGCCATTTTCAATAAATCAATGCTTTGTAAACGATAAAATTAATCTAATAAAATWTGCAATTTAATAATCATATAATTCACAATGAATGTAAATGTTGTTTAAAATTAATATAAAATAGTCTTCTTAATATATTATGGACTAGACATTTGAGAAATGAGGCATAGAAATTCTTAAAAATGTTTATCAATATGTTCAATACATATTCTATTGAGTTTCGTAAGTTATCAATCGTCGTTTATAAAAGTACCTAGTAAAAAAGTCGTATATCAATAAATGGAGAATTTGATACTTTTRTAGGATTCAAATCAGTAATTTATCTGATGTAACACTAGCGACGTATAAAAATATTTTTTAATTATACATCAACGATGTGACCTTCGATTCAAATAAACTTTTTACCCCACTTACAGCAAATGGACTTAAGTTTACAACGGAAAAAATATTATGAGAATAATAAGTTATAATAAATAAAACAAGTACCTATTATTTTAAATTGTAATTATTGTTTTATTGTTTACGATAAAAGTTATCGATTTTTCACGAATACAATGCATAAATAAATCTCAGAGGTTTTAATAAGAGGCTCTAAAAGCACACCAATGTTTTGTGACATCATAATATTATATCGTCATACCGACGGCATTATAACACATATAACCTGTATAATTATTATGTAAATGGAACATTCGAAATACGTGAACTTATTAATAATAATTTGTTAATCCAGTAAAAACGTATACAATAACGGATACAATAGTGGCGTATTATAATAAATTGGTCATGATGAATAAAAATAAAATCGATGTCGTTATAGCGAGATGGCGTCCGGAAATAATGAAAATTTGAACTAAAATAGGATAAAGATTGACGGAGTAGAGAAATAACGCTTTCTGTTTCATCAATCATCCGTAATAATGAAACCATAATGTAACATATTCGGATATTCTCGCAGAACATTGGTCTAAGCGCCTTAATCTTTATCAATTATTAGGTCGTTATAATAATACAATTTTGTGTGTGCGCATTATGCAAGTATTTATACTATTAACTATTTTTATGATTTATTTTTTATATATATAATATCATATTAAAGTTTCTTTTTTTTTATTGATCTAAAGCCCGGCGACTAAGGCCATTAGCTATTGTTGGGGTTATGAACTGTGGTAAAGGTATAGTTTTGGTATGATAGGTTGTTTTTACGGTTATTGTTACGGTAGGTAGCAAGCACGTGTATGTGTGTCAAGATTTTTAACTACTATGAACCCGGGTGATCACCCATCCGGGAGCTAGTAGCTGTGGCAGTTACTTACTCCCAGTTGCATTCGCAATAATTGGTAGCGGCCAACGTGYCACACCAAACCACCATTAAAGTTTATCCTGTATTCAATAATTATAACACAAACCTAGTGTGTTTTCATCTAAATATATGTTTCTTCCACCAAATTAGTATTTTAATTTTAATTTTTTTTTTTTTTTTGACTCGTTTATCGGTAATGTGTACACGCATGACGATAAATTAATGAATAAAATATAAAACAAGGGTTTTTGAGAGGAAACGTTTTCTACTTGGTATGTTAAATCGGACTAAGATGATGATTTTAGATTTAACTTTGATTATATACGTATTTATGCAATATTCGTACGTAATATGATTGAAAAACTAATTCAGCTTACACGAACATGCAAAACGTTAAAACTATAGAATGAAAACTATTAAAAACCGTAATTTTGACGCAGTGAGGTTGCATCCAATTGGTGCATGTATTTAAGAGGCAGACGCATTAAATATTTAATAGAGTGTGTAGTCATGACGTGCAATAACGTGATTTTTAAAAATAAAATCTCACCTTAAACAACTTTTTAAGGAGTTTAAAGAGTAAGATAAGTCGTGTAGTATGGTCTCGTAAATTTAAGTAGCTGACACATGTGGGTAATCGAGGCGAATCGTGCAAATACCAAAACAGTAGTTATTACTTCGCCTGACGCACCCGCAGCTTATACACCCTACGTGCCGTGTCGTTTTCCATTAATAATGAAAATAATTACTGTAAAATATCTTCTTTATTTTATTAGGTAACACAATATTCAGTTTATCTGATAAACCAACATCTCTTAATAACTACAGCATATCTTATTATTAACTAATTGAACAACAAACATTGTACGAATGATCGTTAAAAATCAGTCGCCTTTTTGCAAAAATCTTAATATCAAAAAACTATTACTTTAAATACGCAGATTTTATGCATATTAATTATAGAGAGAAATTCACCAACCATGAATATCTCCCTTTTTACTTATAAATTATATAACAGATATTTTTCGAAATATTAGGTCAAATAAATCAAAATTTGAGCAAATAGCTTTTGAGTTATTTGAACTGGTAAACCAAGGTTAAATTATCAACATTCGGTATATTTTCAAGTATTTTTAAAACTATTTTTAAAGACTTATTGTCCTTAATATACTAAGCTTGAGTTAATTACTTCTTAAAAGTATTTAAAATAAACACTCAAATACTTATGAATAATAGTATTCCAAATAAATTATTTAAAATACTATAAAAACTATTTAAAGGCATTTGCTGTTTTTAATGTGTTTACATCAGATACCAAAAATATTATTCATATCTTCAAGAAAAAATATTTGAAATAATAGCCAATAAAAAAAAAATTTTTTTAAATAATATATTCAACAATATCCAGAATATAACATTGAATAGGTACTCTATAAATACCTACTACAACTACTTTATTTTAAAATATTTTTTAAGGGTGCTTAGTACCTATATATAGAATCTACACATTTTAATTTCAATTTGGATATATTTACATATTTAAAAAATAATATGGTTAATAATTCACAATAAAACGATTGGTTTTCATAAGGAAAAAATAGTCTTTAATACTACTACAGGACACTCCTTAAATTATGTGAAAAAAAAATCTAAATAATTTAAAATATTGTCCTTTAAAAATATATACAATATTATCCTAAATAATAAGTTTTTATCAACATAGTGCTTCATGAAAAAAATAATTCTTTTTGAATAATTATAATGATCTGAATTTTTTATTTCGACATACATCTATTATTATTACTATTATTATATATATTATTTATTATATTATATATATTTATATATTTTATATATTTATATATTTTATCTGTACAACTTTTATAATAATATATTATAATACCATGTGGAGTACTGACTGAAGTATTAATAATACATAATAATATTAAAATGACTAAATACATAAAGAAAAATCATTACAACTCACATTTCAATAGCACTTCCAACGTGGTGTCGTTGATCGAGATTTATTAAAAACGATAAGAGTGTAAAAAAACACACAATCAAAATTTAAAACAGTAGCGAAATAAAAAAAACGAAATCGTTTTACTAGCTGCGATCATATATACATATATATTATATAATATCCCGATCGTCTCCCGTGCTCTGTCCCTTACGGTTATTCCCACCAAACGTTTAGCGGTAGACTATCGTTCGCGCTGGCAAGTCCGGAGACTTTAAAAGTTTTCTGACTCCGCCTCCAACGCATGTACAAACGCACGGTAAATACCGTACTACTGTGGTACACACTATACCGTGCACGATATACGATTTTATTGTAACGTAGAGGTCGTGCACGATATACGATTTTATTGTAACGTAGAGGTCGTGCGCGTTTACTCGTTTCGAATCAAAATAGGTAGGTTGCAATGTAGTATTATATTATTATTATGTTATTCGTGATTTTAATCGATGRGACAAACGTCGGCGTCAAGTTATTTAAAGTCTTCTAAAGACGTGAATTCAGAGTATTTTTTAAATTAGAGAGGCATTAATAAACTGTGAATGGGACACGTATTACGCGTTTTATTTTTTTAATTGGTACCTATAGCAAAAATATTTAYTATACGTTTATAACTTATATACCTACTAAAACGTATTTCAGGCCCTAAAGAATGTGTGCATAAAATGTATACACCTAAATTTAATACAATTTTAAATATTTTAGAGAATTTGTGGGATTTTATTTTTTATTTAACTGCGTATTTCTACAAATCGGTTATTTATTGGTAGCCTATTTTATATGCTGAGTTTCTATAATTTTGTATGTGGAAACGGGAGCTCAATTATAGAAGTGTAAAATAAAATTATAATACAACTTGTTCAATTTTCCTCTAAAATTATTTTAATTTAAAAATAGATTAAACATATCATATTAAATGATCTTTTTAAAAGAAATTTAATTCATGGTGATACCGATACACAGTTGTACATCTATCTAAAAAATGATAAACAATTTATTGATAAAAATATTACGATACGTAATAACTTGTTTATGTTAAGCCCTCTGCTGACGTCCTTAAACTTTTCAGTCGTGTTTTCTTGAATTTAGACTGGCACGGTAGCCTCGATTTTCGTGACGAAATATTTTGACTGTCATCTAGGTTTTCGAACGGCAGTGTCACTAAGCTTTTCACGTTATCTAYAATGATATCCCGTCGGTAAAAAATGAAAATGTTATAATAATAAATGAAATGGCGTTATTAATGGTTACTYGCACACCTTAGCGCACATGATGATTTTGAATATAACCGCACGCATAATAAACGGGAAATGTGTTGACAATACGCCGAAATCAGATCGCAGTACCGCACGACAAAACTCGCATATACATTGRCATTCTATGATGAAAGCTATTTAATGTTTACGGGTCAATACGCACTATTCAAACATACGCACGCATATCGTTGGTGCTATTATTATCATAATAAACGTTAATATATGAAAATTATTTGTCTCGGATGAGGCCGCACTAGTTCTGGCCTGCACGCCGCCGGCATATCTGACCGGACTCGAGAGAGGGAGAATAAGGTCTCGGCTGAACGCCACTTTTGAGCCAGGAGAACTGCGTCCGTCTAAACTAACGAGTCGAACGCGAGGAGCGAAAAACTACAATTTCTCTATGGCAGGCAAGGTGGAAGCGCCCTCAAAAGACGCATGGACGCATCGCGCCATTCCGGATATAGGTAGATGGTTAGGCAGAACTGTACCGTTAGTGCCTCTGACGTTCCCCATGACACAAGCGCTAATGGGCCACAGATGCTTTCAATGGTACCTGGACCGGATGGCGAGAGCCGACAGCCCACACTGATACCAGTGTTTGGACAGCTCCGACACCGCAGAGCACACACTGTTTGAGTRCACCTACTGAGACCGATTCCGCGACCAGCTGAGCGCTCAGTTAGGTCGTCGACCGACCGTGGCTGATCTTCCCCGGATTWTTTGCGGCMMGAAGTTTGAGCTACTCYCGGCGGATCTCACTGAGAAKTTCGTGATACTAAGAGACGCCGAGGAACAGTTCAGGCTGTTCTATGGTATGGTGGAAGGTATCCTGTCCGCTAAAGAAAAGGAGGAAAGAGCTCGGCAGACCACCATAGCCAGAGACGCGACGGCGGAAGACGAGACCTAGACTATTTATAATAAAAAATAAAAATATAATGTGATATACCAGTAGTGAGTGGGAGACACTGCTAATAAGGTTTTTGTATATTGATTATTCAATAAACGATGGTGGCCGGAGGAGAAGTATTGGCAACATAGTTCCTTCTCCGGTCCTCGATACCATAAGAAAAAAAAAAAGTATATGAAAATTAAATATTATGCAAATATGAATAAATTATGGTCATCAGACAAAAAATAAATATAAATTAATTTTTTTTTTATATATATAGACGTGATGGTAAAAAATGTGAACTGTCAATGGTAATCGAATAGGATTAAAATAAATTGTTTTTAAATCATAATCCACAATCAACTTGTAGACTTGACTAAAAGTACTGTCATCAACGATTTTAAATGAAAAGATTTAATTATTGTTTTTCAATTTATCTATTATTCAATCACATACCAAAAAACTTGGAATATAAATACTAAACTATTTAACATGAAAGTACAAAATTGTATTTTTATAATAATGTTTAATAGTTTGAATCATTCTATATTTAAATTAAAATACTAAACTATTAGAAAATACAAATCCACTTTTCGTTTAAAACTTATGATACTCTAACATTTTTAAGTTTAATTATATATAAAATTATACTGAATTTATACAGAACATTAAACTTAATTTTCTAATTAAAAATAAAATAACATATTTTTAATAATATAAATACTATAGACTTAATAACATAAGATATGACAAAACATAGAATTTAAAATAATTGAATGAAATAAAGTTTAAATAAATTCAATTGTTACAGGCAAATACAAAATTCAAAGGTGGACTGGTTCAGGAAGAAAAGAAACCTAATCTAACCATAAAAATATATAGATGCATTTAATTAAAATAAAACTTGAGGTAGTTTATTCGACAGGAACAAATCCAAATAAAGACATCCCACAATAATTTTAACTGCAATTATCTTATATTGGGTTTACAATGATGTGTGGTTTTTTATTTTATGATTCACATCACCATTTAAAAAGTAAAATTTTAAAATTTTAAATTACAGAGACACTAAATACTATTTATTTATAAAATATATTTAATTGTTCGGTTATGATTCAATAGTGAATATTTTTAATTGAAATTTTCAGAAAATATAGGCTCCAAAAACAAACCATTTTACTTTCTATCTTTTGAAAATTGTATATATTTTTTTACTTAAAGCATGTCAATTATTTATATTTATTTATTTTAGGGTTGACCAATTTATAGAAGTTGTTGGCGAGTACTTCTTAATTGGGTACTATATATGTATACTCAAAGTTCGATTACTAGGACTAAAAGATAATAATGTACAACGGTATATTATTTATGTAGTATTATATTATATTATTTATTTAACATCTATTTATTCTATTTAGTTGTTATTTTTATAATAGTTGATTGTAAATTAAGTGAATTGAACCCTGTATATGCCTAACTGGCTGTCTGAACAAATTATGTTTTTGTTTCATATAATATAAACTAATATGGTCAGTATTAATAATAACTTCTATGTTTTATAATGTATTTTCATACGCAGAAAATTATTAAAGTTCGCTTATGCTGAAATTTCTAAAATATAGAAAATTTAATAAATATAACATTATCAAATAATAATATAAATCACAATGGAATGAAAATTAATGATACCAACGAATGAAAACATACTTAATATGTCTTGAGTGATTTTTTACCAGAGGTATACGCTGTTATATGTTAGAACATCAATCATAAATAGAATAAATATCTATGACATTAAAATAATTATTAATTCGTGCTTGATTATATATAGTTTCGATAATATATAATATTTGAACAAAAGGTATAATATCTATGTACTTTACACTTCAAATATGTCAAATGTTATTTTCCATTTCTTAAAAAAAAAAATGCAAGTCGATAATTTATTATTAAAACATATATAATAGAATTTTTTTTTTTTTTTTAGGAAAGAGCCCTCGGATAATAGAAATTGTTATCAATGTAAAGTATCAAAATAATATTTTTGTTTTTCTAATGTGATGGAAAATTTTTTTTTTTTTTTTACTGCCTCTAGCCTATTATAGGCTTTATATTTATTATTGTTTTTTTATATTAYATTATAATGCGTCTTCTACATATACAATTTTGGTTGCGCTGATTCGCAAAATGTTATTCCCTTGAGTGATTTTAACAACCACAGCAGTCCYGTTTAACTTTCAGGTTGCGGAAAGTATTGTTATAAAATTTTGAAACAAGTTGTTGTTTCAGAGATATATAAAATGATTAATAACTTCAAAGTTAAAAGTTTTTTTGCTTGGGTGCAGTGTAGTGTAGTCAATCCTAGTGGGCTTCGAAAGAGAACAAAAGGACAATAGAAAATAAATCAGCATTGACAATTTGTGTCCGATCAGAAATCACTCTTCACGCTAAACACTTTTGTTCGAATTTTCTCTTTTTGGGATTATTAAAGTCTCAACACTTTCTCTTCTCCATTATACATAAATTGTATAGTTTCGTATAAGTCAGGTCAGCTTTAGATTTGCAAACGATAACTTGCATAGTCTTATCAATATCAAAATATAATAATATCGTACTTACTACCGTGACTTTTAATGAATTTTGTGGGTTCTCATATTCACTTAAAATCATTRAAACTGACTAGTGAATACTGCGTATATTATTTAAATAAAATTAATTGCTTCGTTCACACATTATTTAATTGATTCGATAGATACTGCAGGTTTAGTTTACGCACGTCAAAAAAGTATTCTCCCGTCACTAAATTTTAGTTGATGCTCAMCATTAAAATTTCGTATTTTAGATGTTCTGATCATTTGTTCTTAAATTTATAGTTAGTGGTATTAACACATTAGGTCAATTTTTTTTAGAACGAATGATTTTTATATATTCTATTTTTTAAATATTTTATTTATAAATATATCATAGTTTATGCAGTTATTATTATATTGAATATTCATAGACTATAT